CTCTCTCTCTCTCTCTCTCTCTCTCTCTCTCTCTCTCTCTCTCTCTCTCTCTCTCTCTCTCTCTCTCTCTCTCTCTCTCTCTCTCTCTCTCTCTCTCTCTCTCTCTCTCTCTCTCTCTCTCTCTCTCTCTCTCTCTCTCTTCTTCTCTCTCTCTCTCTCTCTCTCTCTCTCTCTCGCTTTCTCTCTCTCTCTCTCTCATTCCCTCTCTCTTCTCCTTCTCACTTTTTATTATTACACTCTTTATCCTGGCCACTAAAGCTTTCCGCTTCTTCACTGAACTCTTCCTATTCTCTTCCTTTCCTTGGCCTTTACCTGCCAGACAATATCCTCACTCAACGAAGCTCTGTTCACTTTTTCCTCCTTAGGGCTCCCCCCTGGACTACTGTCTGAAGTTGATGATCCCCACGGTACTACTGCTAATCACTGCTTACCCAATAACGGCTAGATCTCATATTGTGTCTCCGTCGCTTCCAGGTACTACCAGGTGAGGGCAGCACTGAAGCACTCGGCGCGCATCCCTGGGAAGGTAGAAGCCTCGCTGCTGCCTCTCGAATCTGGTGAGTGACGTCAGCAGAGAGAAAGGGGGGGGGGTGCATCCAAGACCGGACAGAAGCCGTGACAGGTGTAGAAATTAACTTTTGAACACGGAGTCCAACGGACTCCCTACCCTCAAAAAAAGGGAGTCCTCAGTCCGACTCGAGGTTCAAGATTAAAGATAACGCATACATGTGTTTATTTTGAATGAAGATTCATGCGGTTGCACGTCTGTCAAATTTTCTTTGGACATTAGCTGAAAATATACGGTAATTCCATGAGGTCGTGCTCTGGAACGAACTAGTTAGTATGGCAGAATTTTCAGGGAGTCGCACGGACTCCTGCATATGTCAAATCAGGGAGTCCGACAGTAAATCAGGGAGTATTTGACTCCGGACTCCCGTTAATTTCGCACCCTGCCGTGATGTGGTCGGGGTTATGTTGTATTCGAGTCAGCATGCTCAGAAGTGATTTTTGCCTCGTGATGCCCTCCTTACGTTAAAGTGATTACGTCACTGTAAATAGTAAAAGTTAAAAAAACATGTCGATTTTTTCACAAAATGTTAATGATTCTGTTATCACTTTTTATGGTTAGATTGTCGCATTAAAATTTCTATTTTGCTGTTCCGTTCGATGTGAACAAACGCTCGTGACTTATACATAGCCTATAGCAAGCATTTAATGTCGTGATCAATATATCAAATCGCCCAGTCAAATTTTTTGGATTTTTAACTAGTTGAAAAACAATCTTATCAGGTAAGAATTAGAGGATACATTTAGTGCCGATAGTACGTACTTTTCATGTAAAAAAATTGCAACAGAAATTTTACAAATATACACCATAGAAAATTCGTGACGTAAGTCAATTTAATCGAAATGTATTGCAGCAGATTCATAATTAACATTTTATGTCGTCGCTGGCTTACACATGATGGACTGATTGTTAATTTTTTATTCACTAGTATGAATTTTGATTCATTCCGTCATTTTCGTTCTTGCTAGCGAGCGAATTTTCAACTATGAACGAACAAAGTTATCATTCGCGCAAGTAGCTAATTGCTGGTTGGTTACCATGGTGATAATTTCCTACTGAATGCTGAGGAACTGAAGGCGCTGTACTGATTAAAATGAAACGTAATTACAATTCCCCGTCACGTCTGATAGAGGCTGTGTCGCTGCTTTCACCTGTATTGTATAGAGATGCGGTACACGCTTCCAACGTCCTTCACTGCTTCTTGCTGCGTGCACGTGTAGTGGGCGCTGTCTATGAGATGACAGTGTTCGCTTGAGTGCACTTGGATGGCATGGCTACAACAAAGCATGACTTGAGGTTCTCTATCCGTGTGCCGCGCGGAAAATAGCTAAGAAATAATTACGTAATGGGGTGAGCAGTAACTTGAAGCTGACAAGGATGAAGTTGACTGAAGGAAGTAGAGAGGAAGGCATGTGGGCGTTATTAAGGGAAGTGTCGGAGAAGTGAGCTCTTCCATTGTGGTCATAAAATGATGTATGCGCTCACGGTCACTTCATCAGATTTTGGCAAGCAATACAGACACACACACACTCTCTCTCTCTCTCTCTCTCTCTCTCTCTCTCTCTCTCTCT